TGGTATGATGTATGTGGGGTCCCTGCCTTCCCCAAAGAGTGTATAAAACTGCTGCAAACCAGGGGTGCGGAGCCTCTCAGTGTCACCAGTTGCTGTGTGCACGAGGAGGAGGACCGAGCTAGCTCGCAATAAACACCTCTTTGCTGCTTACATCAATCTGGGTTTCTGGTGGTCTTTTGGGGGTCCCAAATTCAAGCATAACGCAATCTTGGGCTAGCTCACTGTTTGATGTACAGAGAGTCCCAAGGACAGCCCTTCAGGGAATCCCACTGAAGACCCTCCCCTTAGTTGATGGAAAAGACTCTTCTGAGCTTCCTCAGGGTCTCACCCTGGGGACCCCAGAGCCGTCACTTCAGCCTCAATAATGCTGCTCTGTGTTCCTGTGTAAATGCACCTGAGTTAAAATGCATATCCCTGGACTATGTTCAGTAGGAGTGGTGAGAGGGGCCATCTATGTCTTGTTCCTATATCTGGGGAAATGTTTTAGCTTTTCCATTCAGTATGATCATGGCCGTGGGATTGGAATGTATTGCCTTTTGAACAAGATTTCCTCTCACTGTAGGCAGAAGGGCAATTCCAAAAACACAAGTGGTAATAAATTCTGGTGAGTATTTTGGGGATTACACTCATTAATTGTTGTTAGAACTGCAAATTAGCACAAGTGTGACAGTGGTCACCTTACGCTTTGAGTACAACCCTTGCTGCTCTGCCACTGCACTCATGTTAAAATGGACACATTTCCTTCTCTTCCTCTCTCCCTGCTCCTCCCCAATCTCCCCCTCCCTAATCTCAGGGGAAACAGGATTACCTCTCTTCCCCCTCCTAGGCAGAGCTATCTGTCCTTGAGCACACACCCACCACAGGAAGGAAGAACTCCAGACTTTGGGGATGGCACCAGAAGATCTCAGAAAGGACTCTCTCCCAAGTGAACAGGTGAATCACAACTACAACAGAGAAGAGGTGGAATGTGGCCTTGGAGGCACCTCTTTAACAGCCCCTGCTCCTGCTGATGGGCAATATTGGCATCAGATCAATATTGGCCTCAGAGTCACCATTTCAGGTCAGGAGTCATTTTATCAAAAGTTCCAAAGTTTGGATTCTGAGGCAGTGCTGCTAACTTTCCCTAAGAACATGTGCCTGCTGAATGATCACCCCACCCCAGCTTAAACTCCTAATGTTACCGCTGTTGACTGGTCATCAGTCCTTGCTTCCCCAAGGCTGAAGTATAACACCAGAGAAACATGCTGAGGCAAGTTTAGAGTGGAAAGTTGAAGCTTTATTAAAGGACAGCAGAAAAGACTTCTCCCAGATGAAGAAGGGGACCCAAGAGGTGGAACCATGGAAGGGAAAGATCCTCCCTCTTTTATGGCTAAGGTTCTCTTTCAGCTTTCCCGCATTCCTGTCCCATTCCTGTCCTTGATTCTGTTACCTTGCAGTGATAAAATGCAGGTGGTAGGGCCCAAAAGGTGAGGGGCAGATGGGCTTAGGAGTAACCTGGGCAGGAAGGGTTTTTGGATTAGCATCTCCATGTTTGCTGAGAGCTGCTTCATTAACATTTCCTTGGGATGGGCTCCCTGCCTTGGGGACTTTTTCAATCCTCCTTTTCCTGGACTCCATTCTCAGTATGGCCTTCAATCTTGATTGTACTTGATACTAGACGGATTTGATCAAACTACACTAACTACCTGTCTTTAAATCTGGCTTCACTAAGTACATAAGAACCCCCCACCCCAACTTAAACTCCAAAGTACCTAAGATTCCCCACACCCCAGCTTAAACTCCTAAGTACCCTAAGATCAACCCCATCCAGCTTAAACTCCTAAGTACCATAAGATCCCCCCACCCCAGTTTAAACTCCTAGTACCCTAAGATCAACCTGACCCAGCTTAAACTCCTAAGTACCCTGGCATCACCACCATTTCAGCTTAAACTCCTAAGTACCCTAAGATCACCCCCACCCCAGCTTAAACTCCTAAGTACCCTAAGATCAACCCCACCCAGCTTAAACTCCTAAGTACCCTAAGATCCCCCCCACCCCAGCATAAACTCCTAAGTACCCTAAGATCACCACCATTTCAGCTTAAACTCCTAAGTACCCTGAGATCACCCCCACCCAGATTAAACTCCTAAGTACCCTAAGATCCCCCCATCACAGCTTAAACTCCTAAGTACCCTAAGATCAACCCCACCCCAGCTTAAACTCTTAAGTACCCTGAGATCCCCCCCCCACCCCAGCTTAAACTCCTAAGTACCCTGAGATCACCCCCACCCCAGCTTAAACTCCTAAGTACCCTAAGATCAACCCCACCCAGCTTAAACTCCTAAGTACCCTAAGATCACCCCATCACAGCTTAAACTCCTAAGTACCCTAAGATCAACCCCACTCAGCTTAAACTCCTAAGTACCCTAAGATCACCCCTACCCCAGGTTAAACTCCTAAGTACCCTAAGATCCCCCCACCCAGCTTAAACTCCTAAGTACCCTAAGATCACCCCTACCACAGGTTAAACTCCTAAGTACCCTAAGATCCCCCCACCCCAGCTAAACTCCTAAGCAGCTCAGGAGATTTCTCTTGAGGGCTATAAATCTTCTCTCTAAGTGCCACAGGCTGCTGCTCTCCTGGAGGGACAGCCTTGTTGCTATGCCTCCTGTTACTGACCACAAATCTCCTGTGTGACATTCTCATGTGTGACCTACTCCTTGGACTTTGTGTGGACTCTACAGGTGTCCTTTCAGGCAGAATCACACCTTTGGGACAAGAGTGCCCTGTAATTTTTTTTTTTTTTTTTTTTTTTTTTTTTTAGAGAGAGGAGGAGAGAGAGAGAGAGAGAGAGAGAGAGAGAGAGAGAGAGAGAAAGAGAGAAAACTTTTTTTTTAAGAGAGAGAGAGGTAGAGAGAGGTAGAGAGAGAGAGAATTTTAATATTTATTTTTTAGTTATCAGCGGGCACAACATCCTTGTTTGTATGTGGTGCTGAGGATCAAACCCAGGCCGCACGCATGCCAGGCGAGCGCACTACCACTTGAGCCACATCCCCAGCCCAAGTGCCCTGTGTTTTTTTCTGAAAAGCAATAAACCTCTTTTTCCTTTTTCTCATATCCTTGTCCTCTTATTGGATTGGCATCTGGGACAAGGACTGGGCTTTCAGCAGCACTTTGGAGGGAACGTCACCATGCCTTGTGCCCAGAACCTGGACGTGGGGCTCCAGGACTTGCTGCCCAGATGGATTTCAGTCTTGCGTTGGCCCCAGCCCTTCCTTCTGTGCCCTATTTTTCTGAATGGAGATGTTTAGTCTGTACCTTTATATAGTGGATTCTTGTAAATGGCTTTGATGTTTAGAGCTGACAATGCTGGTTTGCCTTGAGGCTCAGAGGAGACTTTGGACCTGAACTTTGGGGCTGGGCTTGAACTATTGGGACTATGGGGAATCTTGGGAATGGACTAAATGTATTTTGAATTGTGAGGTGGTCATGAGCTTCTGGGGGCCAAGGGTGGAGTGTTATGGTTTGGATGTGAGGTGTCCCCCCAAAAGCCCCTGTATGAATGCAACAGGGTTAGAGTGGAAATGACTGAGTAAGAGAACTTAACCCATCAGTGAATTAATCCCCTGTAAGGGATTAACTGGGAGGTGACTGAAGGTGGGCAGGTGAGGCTGGAGCAGGTGGGCCATGGGGGTTGCCTTGGGGTATATATTTGTATCTGGTGAGGGTCTCTCTCTGCTTCCTGATCATCATGTGAGCATCTCCCCTCCTCCACAGTCTTCTATCATGATGTTCATCCTCACCTTGAGATCTGAGGAATGGAGCCTGCTGTCCATGCACTGAGACCTCTGACACTGTGAGCCCTCAAATCAACCTTTCCTCCTCTAAGTGGTTCTGGTCAGACCTTTCAGTCACAGCAGCAAAAAAGCTGACGAGGACACCACCACATGACCAGGTATTGCACGTTTTGTTACAGTCCTAAGGATGTAAACTAAGCATTCTGTAGTGACACAGCCACACACGTGTTTATAGCAGAAACTCACAGCACCCAAGTGATGGACCCAGCCTAGATGCCTGTCACCAGATGGATGGGTAAAGAAAATGTGGGGTGTGTACAGAGTGGGGTTTTACTCACCATAAGGAGGAATTAAATGAGATTGTTTCTGGTAAATTGGTGGAATTGGAGAACATCATGGGAAGTGAAATATCTCAGTCTCAGAGAGTCAAGGGCTGAGGCTTTCTCTGAGAAGTGGAAGGTACAGTAAAATAAGGGGACTCAGGGACATCAAAATAGAATGGATAGTAGAGCAGGGGAGGAAGGGAATGGAGGGTGAAGGAGGGGGGAGGGAAAGGAGGAAGGAGGAGGGAAATTGACCAAAGGCCCCATTTGCAGATATGAACACCCCAGAGTAAATTCCATGTAAATAACTTTCACTAACGTAAAGTGTAAACAAATAGAAGAGAGGCCCCCAGAGGCAGGATCCAGCCCTTGCCCCTGCTCTGTCCTGCTCCTGGCTGACCCTGAGCTCCTGTGTGCTGGGCGCCCTCTGCTGGCCCTGGACGCCCTGCAGGATGTTTGTGTCTGGGCTCACATGGAGGTCCCCTCACTGTGTCTCTAGCACAGTAATAGGCGGCTGTGTCCTAGGCTCTCAGACTGCTCATTTGCAGGTACAGTGTGTTCTTGGAGTTGTCTCTGGAGATGGTGAATTGGCCCTTCACAGAGTCAGCATAATAAGTACTGCCACCAGTATTAATGTTTGAGATCCACTCCAGCCCCTTCCCTGGAGCCTGGCGGACCCAGTTCATCCAGTTGTCACTGAAGGTGAATCCAGAGGCTGCACAAGAGATTCGCAGGGAACCCCCAGGCTGCACCAGGCCTCCCCCAGACTCCACCAGCTGCACCTCACACTGGACACCTGCAAACACAGAGGCAGCCTGGTCAGGACATTGTCACTCACCCACTCTTCCTCTCACTCCTGTCCACTCACACACTCAGGATCTCTGGTTCTCCATTCATTACCTTTGAAAACAGCCACCAGGAAAACCCAGCTGAGCACACTCTCCATGGTGAGCAGCTGTGTTCAGTCCTGGTCACTGAGTGGGATGAGCTGGGAGGGTGTGGCCAGCAGCTCCACTGGGAGCAGCCCAGGCTTTGCACCCAGAGGATGGAAGGTGTTTCAGGATCCCAGGGATCAACAAGGCCTAGCTTCCCTATCTCAGAGGCAGAGATGAAGGTCTGAAAGACCCTCCAGTCAGGGCCTGTGGGAGAGAGCTCTGGGCTCCTGACCCAGGACTGCCCAGGGCATGGTTTCCCCTGTTCAGCCATCAAGGGGCCCAGAGGTTCCCAGCCCTGGTTCAAGGGAGGCCAGGACCTGCTCCCTGCTGAGGGTGACCTTGTCCTCAGCCACACCATGCTGGCTTTGCAGGTGGCTGACTGTGAGAGCTACAGGGTCAGGGAGGGTTACATGAATATTGAAAGGAAGGGCTGGAGGTCAGATGGGGGTCAGGGGTCAGAGTCCCTGCTGGCAGCCCTGGCAGGTGATGCATGGGGCTCTGAGATGAGGCCAGGGCTGCTGAGGAGACCCCTGGATCAGAGGAGCCAGCAGTGAGCAGCACTTGCCCAGGAGGCAGCAGGCTGCAGGACAAGCTCACTGAGAGTGAGGACAGGCGACTGTGTCCAGCTGGGCTGTGTGCTGGGCCTGCCCAGAGCCCTCACCCCTATCCCCCTATGGTGACCTTGAGGACAGAATTGGAACAGTGGGTTTAATGTCAGTCCTGCTGGGCTTCAGTCCCCTTCAATGTCTGTGTCTTTTCCTTTTGAAATGGGAATATTCACTCCTGCCATAGAGCTTAGGAGTGTGTGACCCCTCTTTGATTTTCTGGCACAGAGTCAAGTTTTCCCTGAATCTTCTGGATCTTTGCACTGGATTTCTGAGCTCAGCTGAAGTATTTTTGCCTTTAGGGTCTCAAGGATGAGGACTGAATGTGTTCTGCTTTATGAGATGGATGTGAAAGCTCTGTGTCCAGGGATAGAATGATTAGTGTGCATCATTGTCCTCCCCAAATAACATGTGCTAAGGTTGTTCTGAGCTCCTTGGGCAGTGGGGGATCCCCTAGAACATGTGGACTAGGTGAATTTATGTCAATCACGAGGACATTCCACACAAGGAGACTGGCAGACCCCCTGTCTTCCTCCCTCCCTTTTGATTCCTAGCAACATGGAGAGTGATTTCCCCACAGGGGGCTCTCTGCATTGCCCCTGGCACATCCAGGAAAGGTGTAAATGCAAAGGACCCATCTGAGCATGGACTGGAGGTTTAATGTCTTCATCCATAATAAAGATCCTGTTTATGTGCTGATGGTCTCAGGTACCTGCTTCAGGGATGCAAAGCTGAGGAGCAGAGTTTTAGGTACTATGTTAGGAGAAGAGGCTGGGCCTGAAGGACACACTCCAGGTGGTGGCAGATGTCAGACCCCCTCAGTGAGCTTCCCCTGGGGTGCAGCTGGGCCCAGGTCCCTCAGGAGAGCACTGCTGAGCAGAGGACCTTCTGTCTTTATGTTGTGGAGCTTCTCACCTGGGCCTGTCTGGAGAGCCAGGGCCAGTTCAGGTCCTGTCACCAGAGTGAGTGTGAGGCCCAGGTGAGGGCCTGTGGCATGGAGCTGGGAACTCCCAGGGCCCAGGGGTCCCTACAGGTCAGGTGACAAAGTCCTGTGGCAGGTGATGGTCTCCCATGAACAGTGATCAGTGCCATGCACACTGTGCCCAGCCATAGAGCCCTGTGAGGTGAACATCCGAGTCTGCATGAGAACATCTCCAAGTCCTGAAATTTAGTACTGGAGGGAAAGCATTGCCTGTGGGAAGGACCAAGGAGACACGCCCTAGGGAATGTAGTAAGAGTGGGTAAGGAGTAATATCTCTGACAATATCCACTGGGCACAGGTCAGATATTACCTACTGTGGACTGACCACCACAGGGATGGAGTAACTGTCCTGATATTATCCACTGGGGACAGTCAACCATCAGAATGGAGTAACAGGTCAGATATTATCCACAGACAGGGACAGTATTAGGATGGAATAACAGGTCACATGTTGTCCACTGAGTACAGAGAGCATGGGGATGTGGTGACATATCTGATATTATCCCCTGTGGACAGACCAGTGTTGGGATGGGGTAAGAGATCAGATATCATCCCCTGTGGGCAGGATTAGCATGTGCATGTAACAACATGTTAGATATTATCCACTGGGGATGGAGTAACTATGGGGTGGGGTAACAGTTAGAATGGTGTCCCCTGGGGACCTGGTCAACATGGGATATAGTATCATGTCAGATATTGTCCAATGGGGACAGGGTCAGCATGGGGATGGAGTGACTGGTCAGATTTTATCCCCTGGGGATAAGTTTTGGAAAGTCTTTAATGGCTTTTCAACTTCATTGTTTGAAATTTTTCTATTTAAATTTTTACATACTTTTGCTTCAATTTCAACAAGTTTCATTAAATTAGATTTTTTTTAAATCTCTGCAAGTTTTTATAGTTTACTGGAGGATTATTTCTGTATTTTTTTAGTTATAGGTGGACACATATTTTTATTTTACTTCATTTTTTTAAGTAATGCTGAGGATCAAACCCAGTGCCTCATGCATGCCAGGGGAGTGTGCTACCTCTGAGCCATAATCCCAGCTCTTGGAGGATATTTTTAAAAAACAGTTTACAATAATTTTCTGGATTTCAGAAGAGCCTGAAGCATATCTTCTGTTGCATCTAACTTTGTTAATTTTTTGCTTCTGTTTTTTATATTCTATAGTGTGCCAAGGGCTTCTCCATCTTCTTTATGTTTTATAGGAACCATGTCCTTGTGCCTTTGATAGTGTGCATTGTGTACACAGTCCCTAAAATCTCCAGTCACAGCAATCAGGCCAGAGAAAGAAATTAAAGGGTTACAGAGGAAAGACAGGAGTCTGAATATGCTGCTTGCAGATGGTGTGATCCAATGTCTAGAAGAACCAATATCTTCATCAGAAACTTCTAGATTTGATAAAAAAAAAACTTTAGCAATGTAGGTAAATACATCATGCATACATAAATAAACCACTTTCAAATACTTCTAAAACAGGTCTGCTGAGAAAGAAACTAGGAAAATGTTCCCATTCTAAATAACTTAAAAAGTAGTTGGAAAGAAATAAACCAAGGAGGTGAAAAATCTCTACAATGGAAACAGTGAGTAACAAGACAGGGAAAAACTGAAGGCCTTAGAGATGGAAAGAACTGCCGATTTCTGCTATTGTCAGAATGATTATTATCAAATGGCCAAACTACCAAAAATGTCACAGAGATTCAATGAAATCTCCTACAAATACCAAAGACATTCTTCAAACAACCAGAAAAGAAAGAATTCTGATATTTGTGTGGAGAAATTAAAAACACAAAATAGCCAAAGTAATTCTAAGCAGAAAGATTGAACCAGAAGTTATGAAAATATCTGACCTCAAATGATTTGACAGAGCTGCAGTAACAAAACCAGAAGGCACTGACCCCAAAGCAGACATGAAGACCAACAGAATAGAAGGTACAGAGACAAGCCAACATAAGTGCAGTTATTTGGCACTTGACAGAGTTTCCAAAATCCTGTTGGAGACATGACAGTATTTTCAACCTATAGGGCTTAGGAAACTGAATATCCAAATTGAAAAGGATGCAATAGATCACTATATTTCACCCTCCAAATGTCAACTCAAAGTTGATCAGAAATTGAAGAATTAGACTAGGCACTCTGCAAGGGCTAGAATCAAATATTGCACCAACCTCCTCTATACAGACACAGACTCTGACTTCCTCAACCAGGTCACTAAAGTGCAAGGATCAATACCAGGAATTAGTAAGTAAGACAGTATCAAATTAAAACCTTCAGCACAGCAATGGGATCCAGCCACAGTGTGAGGAGAGAGCCTTGGGACATCATTGTCACCTCCCCAGATAGGGCACAAATACAAAGAATATATAAAGAACCCCAAACACTTAATAACCAGACCAAATAACCCAATAAATAAATAGGAAAGACCTAAAGGGACATTCCTCAAGAGAGGAAATCTAAGTGGCCAACAAATATAGGATAACATTCTCAATAGTCGTAGAAATCAGGAATTGCAAATTAAAACTGCATTGAGAATTCATCTCAGTCCAATCAGAAGGCAACCATCAAGAATAAAAATAATAAAAATTGTCAACAAAGATATGGAAAGAGGTGTACAGATGTGTTATTGCTGAGAGTTCAATTTATTGCTGCCATTCCTGAAAGCAGAATGGACATTTCATGAAGACCAGGAATGGAGCCACGATATGACCGAGCTACTACACTTCAGTATTTATCCAAAAGACCCCAAATCAGCACAGCACAGCTATCTAGCCACATCAGTGTTTATACCAGTGGACCTGAAAACAACCATATTACACAACTTTCCCAGATGTCCATCAACAGATGAGTGGATAAAGGGTTTATTAAGCCACAGTCAGAGGGAGAATTGTCAAATGTTCAATCTCAAATGCAAATTGCAGATCAAAAAAGGGGAAAAGTCCTGGGAGGAGTCCCCTGGAAACAGAAGAGGGAGCAGGAGGAGAGGAAGGGGATCAGGGTGAGGTAGGGGGAACAGAAATGGGACGAGCAGTGGAATGACACTGACGAAGCATTCCTGTGTCCTGTGTGAGGATGGCACAGTGGATGTCCCCTTTATGTGCTCTAAGAGGCACTAATGAAGCAAATTATAGAAAAGATCTGTCAAGAAAAAAAAGGGAAAAAGGGTCAGGAGGGAGGGGTAGAGAGGAGAGAGGGAAAGGGAGATGGCAGGGGACTGAAGTGGAGAGATTGTATCCCATGATTGTGTAGCTGTGTCCAATTGAAATGCAGTATTATTTATAATTACGGTGCAACAATGAAATAAGAAAGTATAATTCAAAAACCCAAATTGTTCTCTTCAGAGACATAAGAGATTAGTAAGAAAATTATGTCCAGAGAGCTCTCCTACAAAGCTGGATCATGGAGAGGAGAGGCCCCCAGATGGAGGAAATCTGCCCCACCCCCTCTGCACCTGCTCCTGTGCTGTCCCTGAGCTGCTGTGTGCTGAGCGCCCCCTGCTGGCCCTGGGCACCCTGCAGGAGGTTTCTGTCTGGGCTCACACTGAGGTCCCCTCACTGTGTCTCTGACACAGTAATAGGTGGCTGTGTCCTCGGTTCTCAGACTGCTCATTTGCAGGTACAGTGTGTTCTTGGTGTCCTCTCTGGAGATGGTGAATCGGTCTTTTACAGATGAAGCGTATACTGTGCTATAACTATTAGCTTTGTTTCTTATACGACCAACCCACTCCAGCCCCTTCCCTGGAGCCTGGCGGACCCAGTCCATGTAGTAGTCACTGAAGGTGAATCCAGACGCTACACAGGTGAGTCGCAGGGAACCCCCAGGCTGCATCAGGCCTCCCCCAGTCTCCACCAGCTGCACCTCACACTGGACACCTGCAAACACAGAGGCAGCCTGGTCAGGACATTGTCACTCACCCACTCTTTCTCTCACTCCTGTCCACTCACACACTCAGGATCTCTGGTTCTCCATTCATTACCTTTGAAAACAGCCACCAGGAAAACCCAGCTGAGCACACTCTCCATGGTGAGCAGCTGTGTTCAGTCCTGATCCCTGAGTGGGCTGAGCTGGGAGTCCAGGGTGGGCTCCTGTGCAGAGCTGCAGGGTCAGGTGGGCTGGTTTTCAGGAGCAGAGGGAGGCCCTATTTGCATGTCCTCCTGCTATATAGCAGCTCTGGGTGGAGGCCCAGTAGAGTAGCTCTGAGAGCAGATGGGAGTGTCATGGGCAGCATGGTTGACAGAAGAGCGTTCAGGAGGGAAGAATTTCTTCTAATTTGATTTTAGAGTCCACTATGTTAGTTTATTTAATATAAACACATAATCATATGATGGAGGTGTCTGTGCTAACTCCCTGGTGCAGATGTAAAATCACACAGAAGCCTGAGTGCTGGTTCACTGTGTCCAACAGCTCATGTGTGGCAAGAGTGACTGGTTACCTGGTATTTTGCTCTCACCCTGTACATGACTGCTGCCCTGACCCTCCTCCAGCTCCCAGATGCACACATCTGGTGAGGTCCTCAGAACCATCCTGCATTGGAAATGTGCTGTGTGTCTTCTCCCCTCTGCTGCCACCTGCTCTCCAGGGAGGCGTCCAGCTGAGGGCCTCAGAGGCTCCCTGCAGGGGGAAGGCTGTGCCTCCCTGTGAGGGCCTCCTTCAGCTCAGGAGCATCCAGTTGGCACAGAGCCCTCAGGTCCACATGCTGCTGCCATCTGTGTTGGGCACTGGGCCCTAGTCTGGGCAGAGAGAAACCCAGCCTCTGTCCTCACTTTCACTTGGAATGAGCTGTTTCCACAGGGTTTCCTGTATATCCCTCTCTTTGTAGGGTCCTTGGAGAAGGACCAGCCAGTGTCCCCATGGGCTTTCTCTGTCTAATCTGTCATCTGTGGTCCAGACCTCCCGTCCTCCTCCTGTGACCAAAGACCCAGGGAAAGCAGGGACTCTCTGTGTGGATCAAGTGTCATGGAATCCTCCTTGAGACACAGCCACATGACCTCAGCACTGCGGCCCTGTCACTCTTCACATGTCCACATTGTTGAGAATGTAGAGGAAAACAAACACCCTGTTCCTAGCCATCTGGATTCCCCCAGGGCTGGTAGAGCCTTCTTGGCACTCTGAGCCCCAATGGGACCCCAGCACTACTCAGGGGTCCAGCCCCATCTGCCTCTCTTGGCCTCCTGCCTCCTGCCATGTGGTGCTGCAGCCTCAGGAGCCCTGGTCAGCAGAAGCACCTGGGTGTTTGCACCCTGGTCTCCAGAACCTGTGGCAGCACAGCTCTCTCCTTGTGAACCCTCAGCCCCAGGAGCTGCTCAGAGCAGCACAGACTGGACTCAGCCACACTGGTGCTGGGGCCTGAGGTGGTCATAGTGACCATCTAAAGAGGTGGATGCAGCCCTGGGACTGGGTAAAGGGTTGGTCTGTGCCAACTCTGATCTGGGAGCTGGAATAGTCACCAAGGAGCCAACCTGGCAACACCCATGGTGCCAGAGTGTGGAGGTGGTTCATCTCCACCTGCCTTCCAGGGGATGCCCTGGGTAGGCCTCGGTTTAGGCAGAGCTTTGTAGATGTGGCCCCTACAGTCTCCATATTCCATGCTAGTGGAGCCTGGGAGCATGACCTTTAAGGCCCAGCAGTGGTGGTCTGCCAGCTGCAGGGCCAGTGTGGAGAGCAGCAGTCAGGGAGCCCACCATGTGCAGTGTGGCCTAAAGTCTACAGAGACATGGCATTGGACAGCCTGAGGCTTGGCGACAGGACCTATGTTCAGTGTCCACATCAGATATGATGTGGAGCTCATGAGGCCATTTTTAACTAAAGTTCCATGAGTGTTGAGGACCTTTTCATGACCACTACATTGTCCTTTAAAGGAGATGTGGAAAATCTGCTGTCCACAGGGGAAGAATAAAGATAGTCAACAAGAATGGCATCCTGTCCTGCTGGCCCTGGGCATGGCCATGGAGCACATGGACCTAGCTAAAATGGATCAGACAGAGGGAGACCCTCACCACACCATCACTCATGTGGGGAAGCTACTGCATCAGGTCTTGGAAAGAGAGAGGACAGTGGCCCTGAAGACAGGAAGGTACAGGGAGGACGAGGGTGAAGGTGGGTTGTGAGGGCCACGTGCAGAGAGGGCCTTGTCCTGTGGCTCTGCAGCTCACAGGGCACCTGTGGCCCACAGCCAGGCTGTGCTTCACAGTGACTGGGCAGAGTAGCTGGTGGGCTCCCCACACCCAGGAGGGACAGGTGATGGGCAGCTGGGTGTGCACAGCCTGGGACCCATCATGGCACCTGGCACCCCTGTGTCAGGGTGCTGTCCTCTGCCTCACTAGGGCTAGGTTTCAGTGTAAGTGTGAAGATACAGCCGGGATGGCCAGCTGTTGTCTGATGGAGAGAGATGCTGACATTCTTAGTGATGTTGATGATCAAACACCCTCACATGAGAAAGTCTACAGCATAGAACACCTCTTTTCTCACTCACATCCTTCAAAATGTATTAAACTGTCAAATCTCTAAATCTAGTTTATGTATCTAAGTCCTAATTTTATACTTATAAAATCAGGCATAAGCCAGGTGCAGTGTTGCACACCTGTACTCCCAGTGGCTCGGGAGGCTGAGGCAGGAGGATCACAATTAAAAGCCTGACTCAGCAACAGTGAGGCACTAAAAACTCATTAAATCCCTATTTCTAAATAAAGTACAGAAGAGTGGATGATGTGGGCAAGACCCCCTGAATTCAATACCTGGTGCCCACTTTCCAAATCTAAGCAGATTTAATCAATCAAATACAGACTGTGTGCAATGAGGGGTGTCTTGTTTAGGGAAAGTGATCCCAGGATTCACCTGGGCCAGGAAGGAGCTGAATGAGACCCCCATAGCAAGTCCAGAGGATTCAGTGAGGCACAAGAGACAGAAACTAATCCATTGGGAAAGTAAATAGTTAGAAAAATTTCATAGAGACAGAGTTGGAGAAATTTCATAGAGAAAACACAGGCAGGAAGAAATGACTCTCCTAAAAAAATTTGTGTATGCATTTTGAATTTTGGATATGCCAATGTAAACCACATAATTATATATAATTACACTGCTCAAATAAAATATTAAAAATATAAAAATATTGTTGATTGGCGCAGAAATGTCTTGCATTGATATAAAATATAAAAGACTAAATGAGGGAATTATAAATTTTGTATACAAAAATCATTGTTTTAACCACCAATGAACATCTTTTGGAAAAACAAAATAGAATTTAACTTTTTTGAATGAAGCAGGAGTATCTAAGACTAATTGGGATATAAAAATTGCCACTTCTCATCCTCACCCAGACTGAGACTGGACTCTCAGGACAGGCTGGGCACTGACATGAGCAGGAAAAGAGCCCAGGTGTCCCTGTCTGTGACCCTGCAATGCAGCCACAGGGGCTGGAAACCCAGGCAGGCTCCATGCTGCTTCCCCCAAGCAACCAGGTGTCCTGGGGCTTCTCAGGCTTGGGGTCACCTCACATCAAGATGGAGTCAGAGTGGTCCTGGTCACTGTGTTTTCATGGTCTTGAGGCCAGTGGCAGAGCCAACTGGAAACTCCCACAATCAGTGCAGGGCTGACCACCCTCCCTCCTGGGTCTTTGCCAAGGAAGCCCCTTTCTCTCTGAGATCTTGATCAGGCCACCCCCATCCACAAGCCATGCACAGCTGCATGAGGAGGGGATATCTCCACCTTTTGGAGGCCTTGGTGTGGGGTGTGTGTCACAGAGCCCCATTGTTAGGGACAGACAGCTCACATACACCAAAGTCCACTCTAATTCATATATTTCTCTATTTTATGAACCGGTTTAAGGCTTTCCTTAAGGTTTCTCAGATAGGTCTTGGACTTTTTGGGGTGGAAACTGTGAATTGTATACAACACCAGGAGGAGTCTACATGATGCTCCTCAGTAAGGGAGTGTGCACCTCAGTAGGAGAATGTGCACCTCTGTGGGGCAATGTGTGCCTCCTAGGGGAGTGTGCACCTCACTAGGGAAGTGTGCACCTCTGTAGAGGAGTGTGCACCTCTGTAGGGGAGTGTGCACCTCAGTAGGGTAGTGTGCACCTCAGTAGGGTAGTGTGCACCTCTCTAGAGGAGTGTGCACCTCTGTAGGGAATGTGCACTTCTGTAGGGGACTGTTTACCTAAGTAGGGCAGTGTGCACCTCTGTAGAGGAGTGTGCACCTTTGTAGGCGGAGTGTGCAGCTCTGTAGAGGAGTGTGCACCTCTGTAGGGAGTGTGCACCTCTGTAGGGGAATGTGCATCTCTGTAGAGGAATATGCACCTCTGAAGGCAGTGTGCACTTCAGTGGGAGAGTGTGCACCTCTGTAGGGATGTGCACATAACTGGAACACCCAAACCATAATGAGGAAAGAGCAAGAACTGTAAAAGTGCTTGGAACAGACCAAAGTGGAAGCTCAGCCTAGAAACACCTGCAGGAAAGAGCAAAGAGCACCTGGAGAAGGTCAGAGTGGTCAGGGCCTCTGCTCAGGAGACAGACACTCAGGACAGACAGCTGCCCCAGCTCACCAACTAGAAGGCAAGAAGGAACCAAGCTACAGGTACCAGGAGGGAAGGAAAAGCAAAGCTAAACAGAGAACACAATCTTCAGAATATCAACGAAAAGAGCTTTCAATTTCAAAGATAAATGAAATGGACAGATCTCTGGTGAGACTATTCAAGAAAAAAGGACAGAAAATGCAAATAAATAAAATCAGAGAAAAAGGGAGATATAAAGGGAGACATTGTAACCCATGCACAGAAATACAGGGTTATGAGGGGTCATTATGACATATTTGCCAGTGATGTGGAAAGTCTGATGATGGACACAGAAGGCCCCTGAAAACTTACCATTGAATTTTTGGAAACACTGATGAGCTCTCCTGTGAGCAAGGAGACCTGGTGACGATAAACCCCATCTGATTCCCTATTAAAATTGGGAGCCATCTCACCACAAGGACATAAAAGCTAACTTCAGCTTTTTATAAATTACTGCAAATTCTGAACTTGCTTGGAATGCCACCTGTGCCTTGAACTCACCCATGCCTGGCTTTCCCTTACCAGATACCAGCCCTCTCTGAAAC